AGCCCCAGGCCTGATGACAAAGCCAGGTCTTGAGAGACTTACGGCACATCAAGAGGGACGGAGCTAAACTCACTTAGGCCAGGGTGGGGGAGAATGTATATTGTACAGTTAACTATACAAATGCTCTTTTTAAATAACAAATGCTTCCATTTACCACACTGCCTGATCTAACGAGCCGAGTTTAGGCTCCAGTAAGTGCGAGTAATGGCTGCCGAGCTCAGTCGCTCCTTCTGAATAGATGGGGATGGAGCTGTAGTATTAAGTTACCGATGCATCTGTTTCCACATGCTTGCACATGCATAAAGTAGACTGGAACTGTCACATTCAAGTGTCTTGACCACTTCTGAAGGGTTTCAAGTGTGAAACAGCCATGTTTTAACTATTTTCCCTTGAGTCTGAAACATTTTCAGAAAGGTTAAAATAGCCCATCTGGAATACAGAACAATCATTTCAAGCTCAAGGTAGGGTGTGGATGCTCTCTGAGTTAGAAACATTTTGCAATCCCTGGACTACTGTCTTTTCTTTCTCAGAATCACCGCTTCCCTCTGTCTCCAGACCCATCTCAGGGCGAAAAACCCTAATGATTAATGGCTGCTGGGAGTATCCCAAATCGCACCCTTCAACGTTTTTCTCCCCCAAGGATCACACCTGTTCAGATCATTTCTGGCATGGGAATATTGGTCAGGGGGACCAAGGTGATAATGGTCTTGCGTGTTCCACCTCTGTGGTGCTCTCTTCCACAGCCCTTCTTTCTGCTGTCGAATATTTCTGTCTGGTCGCTCATAACGGTTCATATTTTCACATTCCACTATATAAATAGGAGAAGACAGAGCAACATCAGTTTAAGCAGAACTATTACCAACAAGAAAATTAAAACAGGTATCTGATGGTACTCTTAATTAAGTACAACGCAGTCCATACATAAGAATTGCAGATAAATTAAGCCTGGGCATAGTTAAGGTAATTTCATTTAATAATATTGTGATGAGTACTGTCATGAATCAGCTCAGGCCTCAGAGGCAAAATGTAAACTCAAAACTCAAGCTTTCCTATTCATAACATGTCAAACCACAGAAATGCTATACTAGATATGCTGAAACTAACTTGCTTCCACGATAGTAAGGTTGCTACTTCAGTTCAATAACTTTAGTTCATTCTTTAGTCTCAAAAATATAATATAATAAATAATGTATAAAGAACCAAGTAGTTTCTTTGCTATCAGAATAAACAACTAAGCAAACAAAAACAGCACTTACTTTTCACAAGGATTTTCCCAACACTTATATAGTTAATTATGAAACACGATCTTTGGGGAGTTTTATTAAGGAAACGTTTTAGAACATTCGTTTTACCCTACCGCATTAAACTTTTAGAAACTTTAATCAGTATCCAAAAAACAACAGTTTGGTTTCTGAAACGCGTAGCTGGCAATTGTTTTGAAACATTAAAAGCCAAACCAAGGTACAAAGTGCAGCCAGGGAAGAAAAGTTTGAAGAAATCCGTTCAGCTTTCCACTTACCTAAAAATGTTTTCTTCTCATTGTTACGCCTTGACTATGAGACGCTTTTCATAGCTGTTGTTCCACTGCCTACTCAGACATAGTTTTGCAGAAGACAAGGACAAACAGGCCTTCCTTCCTGATCATTCCCTGTTTGCGTAGAGTTGGGAAGGGAGCCCAGTTTGACCCTGTGATTTAAAACTACCGTCCTCCAAGTACATACTTCTTGCAATAGAACAATTGCTATAAATAGAGGACAAGTTCCATCATAGACTCCAAAACGGAACAAGAAAAATATAAACCTATGAATTATCTTAACACTTGCTTAAGTCAATCAGGCTTTGGACAAGACAGAGTTAACTGTTAAATTCATGAATCACACAATCCTAGGAGTTGAAAGGGGCCATTGAATCCAATTCCTGTTCTGTGAACCCAAATTAGAGCAACCCAGGAAAAAGGCTGTCCAGCCTCTGCTTGAACACATCTAGCAAAAGGAAACCCAGGCTGCACCTACAGTTTGCTGTCACTCTCTTCTTACTGAGAAATTTTTCCTAGCCTTCCACTGGAATTCAGTCCTACAACTCACTCTGCTATGGATCTAAACATAACAGCTTTTGTGATTTAATTTCAGGACTTCAGATAGGTTTCTGTACACTTATCTAGCCAGCCATGTCTCTGTGTGTGTTTTTGTTTAAACAAAAAAATACACAATAAATTTTAACCCTATTATACCAAAAGCGTTACTTAGGACAATCAGAATTCATTTTAAAAAGACTAGCTGAAAATTATGGCACTAAAAAAAGAAAAGTATCAGAAGTTGAGAAACCACCTAAAGTGCTTACAGAGTTTTAAAAGCATTGCTCTGACCAGAAACTTCAGAAAAATTATACAGTGGGGACGTTATTTATTGCTTTCCTTGAACACAGAATGAAGCTGTATACTGAGACCAAAGATACCCACAGCCTTCCCTCCCTGATGTCCTCCAGATTTTATTGCATTATCACTGTAGAAGTTGTTGGGGCCCTTGGTTGAACAGAAATGGAAGGTGAGATAGAAGAAGCAAACACAATGCGGACTCCAGACACTTCAGAAGTCATTAGAATCCTTTCACTAACCATTATCACAGGGTGTATCTTCAGGTAAGTCGACATCAAGCATAAGATCATCATCTTCAAGATCACAGGAATCAAGATTGTTCAAGATATCCTGCAAGGAACAAGAAATGGCTTCATGATGAGCCCACCTGACCCTCTTTCTCTGAGTCAGACTTACCTAAATGCATTTTGAAATAAACTTATTATTACTGCTTCTCCAGCTAACAGAACAGGACTTTATTATGGTCAGTGATGAGAGCAGCTTCTCCAGCTATCTAGCACAGGTAGCATTAAAGTGAAAAGACATAATTAATCTCCAGGCCTCTGAAAATATGTGCTAAGTATTCAGGTTAAATCAAATCAAATCTTTATTTCAGTCATAGACCAGCATAAAATACAATCAGGAAAATTTACACCCATTTCAATAATAACTTACTGAAACTTGTAAGTGATAAAACATAATTAAAAGCTAGGATTACTAACATAATACTATGAAATTAAAATGCTAAAGTATCTCTAGGAAAGTGAAGAAGAGGACGACCAGCAGCAAGATGTACAAACAGTGGCAATGAGTGCACCATTGGAAGACCTGAAAGCAGGGCTGTGGAGTCAGGGTCATGGAGTCAGAAGCAATTCTTGGGTTACTGGAGTCGGACTCTGAGTCGGTAAAAATGTACCAACTTTGACTCCTAATAAATTTAAATTGTATATAATATAAATAATATAAGAAGTTAAAATTTCCTATTTCATAGATAACAATTTGATTAATAAAATTTCCTATTTCATAGATAACAATTTGATTAATAAAATTTCCTATTTCATAGATAACAATTTGATTAACCTATTTTTTCAGGATATATTTTAATTTCAAGTTCTCTGCAAATTTCAAAATATATATTTTGATAAAAACATAACCTCACTGTTTTTATTTTTTAGCTTTTATCCTTTGTTTAAACTATAATTTATTTAATATTAAAATTAAAAAAAAGAATGTTTTAGCTATAGCCGTTAGACCCAAGCTTTAACAGGTTAGGTGTCAGGTTCAGCCCAAAGAACTCCATGAGATAGTACAGATACAGTTCTGTTGCATTTATTAGCTTCCACCTCCAAGACAGAATCTCCCCAGACTGAATCTACACTTCCAAAGCCAGCCAGCCAAAACACTGTGAATTCCTTAGGGTGGTGCCAGTCTCATCTTCTTAACCTTCCCATGCTCCTGCTGGGGGCTAAGGAAATGCTTATCTCCCCAAGCGTGGCCTTCATCAAACCATTCCATCACATCAGGGTTCTAAAAAGTTGCCAGCTGATTCACGTTGGCAGTGATGAAATGCCTTGCATGTTGCATGCTTGCAGTCAATATATTTATAATTTATTTCCTATATCAATATGTGATTAAAGGAATCGGAGTCAGAGTTGAAGGTACCATAAATAAAGGAGTCAGAGTCAAAGGTTTTATGTGCCGACTCCACAGCCCTGCTTGACAGAACAGGTCAGGGATAGGTAGGTCCTCATGGAGAAAATCTATGTGGTCACTAGGAGTTGACAGTGACTTGATGACACTCAATCAATCAATCAATCAATCAATCAATCAAGGTATCTCTATAAAAAAATCTTATTACTGAGACTATGGACTGAAAGGTGGGGGGGGGGCTCTGAAAGCCACATAAAGGATATAAAAACAAATAAAGCAGCACTGGTGAGCCATAATTTCTGGTTATTGCATCATATTTTCCACATAAACAAACATGGATTTGGAAACTAATGCATATGATTTCCACATGTTAGACTATTGGTCTTAAAGATATATTCCAATTGAATCAACACAACAATGTCCATAAGCCTAGTCCCAAGTACTGAAACAAAAGACATTTATGAAAATCTTTTTATTAAAAAAATGTTTTAAAAGTTGGTGGTTTCCCAGATGACAGACATATTTCTCTGAATAATATTACCTTTACAGATTACAGTTTGCTTTAATAAACTAGGAAATTTTAAAAATTATCAGTAGAACCATCACAATTATCTACAGAAATGGGGTATTACTAAAGCTCCATTAATATTGTACAGTAAGTAACTCCCCGGCACTGACATTTTGCTCTTCCCTTAACAGAAAAGTGCAAACTGAATTAATAATCTCTGTTCCTATTCCCTTTACTAGACCATGGTGTAGATTTCAGTGTCTTTGTATTAAATAGGCGAAGAAGCGGGAAATACAGTTGTATGTTCCCCACTAACTTACAAATGTTACCAAACATGTGTAATGAGATTAGAAAAGGGATGACAGTCAAAACAGCAGTGTGTCTTCAAAAAAAGCACCAGTCTACATATTTAAGTTTACAAAAATCCATCCAATGATACTGGATGTTGAGCTATCACAACAAGCAGGAGAGCTCTTCCTACGTACATTAAGTCACAGCTTAACAGCGAAGCAGGTCCCATACCTTCAAGAGAGAAAATAAAGATGACCAAGTAAAGTAAAATACTTCCCAAGGAAGGGGACCAGGAACAAGAGGCAGAGGCTGGGCTTAGGCTGATCACTGCAGCTGCCATGGCAACCATGTGGTAGTTCAAGGAGGCCTTCCAGCCTGTATCCAATCAGGGAACTGCAGCCACTGACACGGCCACATCATGTTCAGTCTCCCTGAGGCTAGCCACACAATCACATGGACCAGGATGCCAGTTGTCATGGTGAGACACAAATCCTACTATTAGCCTCTGAAACCATCAGCCTTTTATCCTCTTACTGACTCTAGGAAGCAAAAAAAAAAAAAAAAAGAAGAATGATTTTTGCTAAACTACAGACCTGGAAACCACTCCTCTAAACAAGCTTTGGCAAGCTTCTTGTCATTACTATTTCTTTATGATTTTGTGTCATTTTGAAATGGGGAGTGTTTAAGCACACATAGTTGTCGTGGCTGTGCAATGCTTCAGATTTGATTCAGAAGTGATACACGGGAATGGGCTAGACAGCGAGTGCAGCACTTGTCTGTGACTTATTAAAGTAGCCACTTCTTCAGAATTGTCAGCCACTGCAGCTATGTAATCCTGGAGACAGGCAGATATGACTGCTTTAACATGTTACAGACAGATGCTGCACCCATGTTCACATAATCCCATAGCATTTCTTCCAAATCAACTCTGAATTAGTGCTTGTCCCAGTTGCTATGGATAATGCCAATTATCAGATGTAAGGCAAAAATATTTTTCTCATTAAAAAATTCAAATAACTGAGCATAGTAACAAGTCACAGTACTATTATAAATGAGATACTCACATCTTTGACAGTATTCTTTAAAGCCATTAGATTGCTCATTATTAAGGAAAATGGGAGTGAGCCATAAGATGACTCACTAGATCCTCATCTTTTGCATTAAAATATTTTTCAATTTTCATCTTTTTTCTGCTCCTTCTAACCTGTTAAACTACCATAATAGTTAATACTATTTTAACAGGCAATTCACAACACTTAGAATTATAAATACGTCCATTAAAAATATTCTTGGCTTTAAAATATAGAGGGATATATATATTCTTTATTAGAGCTTCTTATACTTGCAGTAAAAGCAATCTCTACCCTTCATTCTTCCTTGCTAACTCCTGGTTGAGTTTCTAGAAGCAGATTTATTGTCCTGTCTTGAGTAAAGCTGATCGTCATCTACTGTGATTCCAGCCATGTTCTTTTTATAGGTTTGCTTTTGTTCAGTGTGACATAGCGTATTTTGCTTATTGCAAAAGGTCATCTCTAAATAATAAGAAAAGTATACAGCTTTAACAGGTTGAAAATAAAATGCAGACAGGTTTCTAGGTGGAAAAGCAACGGACCAAGGCATGTTCCTTTTTTCAAAACTGACGTCTCAAGCCAAAACAGTCCTGCATGCCTCTGATGGATAATTAAGATATTCCACACTAAATACAACCCGAAAATTTAAAAGACTTGAGTAATAATATATTCAAATGTTTGCACACTCTTTTCAAACTAAGTTTAAAAAAAACTCAAAGAGTAATATACTGTAATATGACTTCAGTTATTCCATGACTAAACCTTATATTTGTACTCAGTTTTTATTGATCAGGCAGAGAGAATAAATAGATACTCAAAGACCATCTAAGATTTTTGACTCTGTTTCACTGCTATTTTTAAGCAACAGGCTCCATCACAAATCTAGCTCTCTAGAAAGATCTGCAGTTAAGTTTCATGCCATACATCAGAAATATTACTACAGTCAGATACATTGGCTTAACCTGCTTCCCAAAACTAGGATTCCTATGATTTACCTATACACAGAGGATTAAACAGTAAGGGAAGCTGTGCCTCTTCCCTGTTTCTTTTTAAATTCTGTGATTTAACTGCCTTGTCTGAACTGGCTTGCTGTAACCAGCATTAAAACAGCCTCTCATGCCTGAGAAAATAGATGCCCTGGCCATTACATCATCACTCATACAGACAATTAATTGAATAAGCCATAAGGAAGATTATGCCAACTCCCTTTTCTCCTTTATAATTACATGTTGTTGCCATGAATTGATCATTCTGTCCTCCTACAAACTTTGCCATTACTTCAAAATTAACCCCTCCGATTCTTTTATTCATAAAGAAGCACTAATATCTTCAGCAGAATTACTGGGGATCAGTGAGTACCTCTTTACATAAACTTTACACCAAAGGAACTTTGCAAAGTTTATAGTCCTTATATGCACTGTAGAATGAAAATTAAAAATTAAAAACAGAACACTTCACTTTTTAGCCAGATGCTCCAAGAAAGTATTTATTGGATTTCATGCCCACAGCATGTTTCTATGTTTTAACACTGTGAACACACAGGACAACTTCAAATAAATCAAAATGTAAAGCACAACAAAGTATAATATATTGGCAGATATGGATACTACCATTTCTTAGAAAATACAACAGTAAAATGTCTGCCTCGTAATTATAAAAGCTTATATATTTCCCAAGGGATGTGTGCATGTATGTTATTTGTGTGAAAATGACATTAATATTACTGGGCGTCCTCGTTTAGCAACTGCCTCATTTAGCAACTGTTCGTAGTTATGACAGTGATAAAAAAGTAACTTTATCACCAATCCTTGCATTTACAACCTTCAGAGGTCTGTAATGCAAAGGAAAACTGAAGTAATATCATAAGCACAGTTGCAGTTTCACTTAGCAACCACTTTGCTTAACCAGCAAGTTGCCAGTTCCAATTGTGGTCACTAAACAAGGACTATCTGTACCTGTGGATAACAATGAAGACTGCTCCCTAAGTGGAATAAAACAGCACTAATGGTATTTTTGTATCTAGTGACAGAATTCTATGAAGTAGAACATTTTAATCAAGATATAATTTAGAAAAATAGATAGGCAAAGTATGCTAAATTTTAGACAATCAGGTATTTGGCATAGACACTAGTACACATTATCAGTAAAGCATAAAGTTAACTGCATTTGTTACAGGAACAAATAAATGCATACAGCTATGAATATTTGCACTTAATTTGTCAAGTTAATTACATAATTAGAAAAGGGAAATATGACAGCAGTCAGACATGGAAGATTTAAACAAATTACTGGACATTGTTGTGCTGCCATCTAGCCTTCATTCATGAAGTCACTAAAGAACTTTTTAAAATATTCAACGTCATACGGACTCAACTGAATTTAAATTTGGAGGGGAGGAGGGAGTTGCACCACAAAACACCTGGACTTTTTCACACAGCTTAACAGACGATGTTTTCAAATACAGTACAGTACTTATCTGGACATTCCAATTAGTGTTTATAAGTCAGCTCCTAAAAGAGAAAGATTATCTCTTAACATTTCTAAGCCTATTTAGTAAAATGAAGAGTTAGTGGATGCTAACAAAGTTGTCAGGGTATGTTTACAAAGTTGACTTTTTCAAAGGGGTGAGTTTATCTCTTCAGTAGACAATTTCAGCCACTGAGTTTGAGTTTCTTTATTGTTACTGGAGTCAGAGACCAAAAACATACAAAACTGATACAAAATTGGTACAATTGCTAAAAACAACGAACCACTGTAAAAAAATAATCTTGCTCAGCATTGCAGAAATCCAAATAAAAACTGCTCAAGAAAGTAAAATATTACAGGTAGATTCCTCAGAATCCTGGTATAGGCTTTAAAATGGAAATATTTTCAGAGTATGAATCTAATAAATCTTAATGTCCCGACATTAACATTCCCTCCTGTCTGATTTCCAGAGTTTAGAGCAGGTTTTGTATATTTATAAAGATGAGTAACAGATTTCTTTTAATAAATCTGAAACAATAAAACAACCATGGGGTAACTGTACTGTTAAACCAATAACAATGGAAGGGCTGGGGACAGGAGGACAGAGATCAGAAAAACTGAATTCTTTGTCTTCATTTCACTACGGGAGATACTAGATAGAAGCCAATGACTAAATTGGTTTTGTTCAGACAGGCAACTGAAAAATTCATAGAGTGCTGGTAAGGATGAGGCTTCTGGGGAATCTTGAGAAATCACAAGATTCAGTGGGGTTGAATGGCATTTGCTCAAAAGTATAACAAGCCTAAACATCGAATAAACTGGAGAAGAATAACAAGCAAGATTTTTCTTGATCTGTATTTAGTAAGCAGGGTGAGTCTTAGGTTTCCGCAGAAAGGACAGGAGACTGAACCACTTCTTCATCTAAGATTTTATCCATTTGTTTTTTGCCCTGCTATAGCCAAGGGTGTTATGAGTGAGTAAAGAAACTTCTTGATACACTGACTATGACAAGGGGTCACTTAACCTTCTCCCTGAAAGTTCAGGTTCCAGGTGAAACTGTACTATTTGGATTTCTGGAGCATGAACATTGCTTGCAGTCTCTTTTTCTTTTATGGTTTAGACCTTTCTGTTATCTATTGCTTTTCTAATCTGATGGTAATATTCATTCATTCGTTTTATACAGCCATCCATCCCACAGCAGTGACTTTGGGCAACATACAAAGTTAAAACCAGCAATTAGAGCAGTCCAAATAATGCATGCCCAGGGTCACAAACAACAAATTCCAAACTTATAATAAAAATAACATCAGTCAGCAGAGTTCGCATTAACTTCCCAGCCCAAATGCCTGGAGAAATAGTACCTTGAAAAAGGTTGGGGCCATCCAGATCTCCAGAGGGGTGCTGTTCCACATGGCAGGTGCTGCAACTGAGAAGGCACAATTCCTGGGCCCAATAAGATGACATTTTTAATGCCGCTTTTTCAAATTTGGCAACTTTAATATATGTGGACTTCAACTTCCAGAATTCTGGGAGCTGAGGTCCACACATCTTAAAGTTGTCAAGTTTGAAAAACAATGGTTTAATTGAAGAGATCCAGAGCATGCTCTCCTTGCTAGACCTGATGGGGTGAGTAGAGATGGTGGAAACAGGTAGAGCCGGAAAAATTAATACCTTTAATTGTTAGCTACCTTCTGTAAAGAAGCATCTGAATAGAAATAATCCTTCTCTCCATTTTGTCCTATACCCCTGGTTACAATCCCTGCCAGCCACACCCATACTAGTGGGAAACAATACTACGGATGGTAGTTTGTAAAAAAAAAAAAGAAGAAAAAAGAAATATCCATGCTGCTTTTGCATCATCACTAAGACTGCATTGAAGCCGGGAATGAAAGACATAAATGAAGAGCAGATGGGGGATCTCATTACAGGCTTATCTAATAAGTGGGCTCTGTCCATCAAGCAAACATTCCAGAAGAAAGATTCAAAAGCTTCAAAGAGGCCCCACATTAAAGAACTCACTAATAAAGGAGGGCTGGACGATTCCTATCTCAGTTCTTTAGATTCTGCAGGCTAACTCCTAATCCTTGGCATTAAAATTAAAGAAAGTTTGTGTAAATCTTGCTTCCTTGCTTCCGCTCTGCAGTTAAGGGGCTCAACAGTCATCGCGAATGAAGGCATCTGAAGACGTAATGATTCCTTGTCAGATGTTTTGCAACAAGGGGCTTCCCTAAACCTCTCTAAAAATGTTTGAATGCTGTGATAGCAGCTCAAATGGGAAAGAAAAAGTCCTCAATGATGCAGACAGGCTTCTGGAATTCCACTTTAAAACAAGCCAGGGAGTGATCTGGATCGTTCTATTAGCTTCAGCCCAGGAGGTATGGAAAGGCAAGGGCCAGATCACTCACAAGGTGTCGCACTGCTAAAGGAAAGACCAGCTTTGCTCTGTTTTCAAATAAACTGCCAGAGAGCCAGAAAAAGGCTGACTGAACTACTGAAAAAGTGAGTGTCATCAGTTCAATCAGAGATGGAAGGGATTGATCTGGCATGAGATCCTCACGTGAAGGTACTCTCAATCACATATTAATCTGTGAAATAGTTAAAGAGCCTTATTCTAAGTGTACTGTACACTACTTTTCAGACTTCTAAACAAGCTGAGAAAAATCGCAAAGGTTTCCAAATCAAAAGAAACATGTTTTATGACTATTTCCTCTAAAAGTGTTAATTTATACATTACAATCAAGTGCAACCACACCTAGCACTTATGCTGAGCACAAATTACATAAAGTATTTCAGTGATTTTAAAATATTCATCCATCCATATGAGCTTCTGTCATATAATCTAAGCGGAGTCATTCTCTGCTACTTGGGTAAGTTTATCCAATAATGAAAGCTTCTTTGACAAGACCCTTAAACATTACCCTGAATGATAAAATGAAAAATGGTGAACATCAAACTACGAATTCCCCATAAAGAAGAAAAAGGGAGTTGAACATTCCATAGAAAAAAGTTCTCAAAGCTTGCTTTTTGTTTCAAGTGAGAAGCTCTCCTTATGCAACTATAAACTATGCTTTTTTCCACTGCAGAAAGCTGAAACGTTTTTACTAAACCTAAAATGAGTTTCTTGCACATCATGAATTCTTAGCATCTTCATGAACTGATGCTCCTATTATCTCAGGCCAGTAAGTTTCCAAACTTTCTACACTTTCCACAAGACATCAGTCCCAGAATTTCTGCATAACACCAAGCAATTACAAACTTTATAGTGCACCCTCAATTCCCACAAGCCACTGGCCAGAGACAAAAATATGGAACACTGAATATGCTCAACAGCCTCTATAGCTGCACGCTGCATGACAACAGCAAAGATCCTGAGCAACTGTCTTCCAGAGAATTCTGATCACCATTGGCACTGGACTACAAAGAACACTTCAAAACATTTTGAAGAGTAGGATTTCCATATTTTTACTTTGTCTTCTTGCCCTTAAAGGCACTTTAAAATATTTTAAATAAATAATTATAGTATTTTAATTCATGGACAAAATCTTCATCTTGTCAATCAAACAGCACTATAAGTTAACAACTGCAAAAGCAATATAAGCATAGGCACTTATTTCTACATTTAAAGATCAACCAGTCTTATAAAGGCAGCTTGTTCTTATGTTAACCAGTTTACGCTACGTTTCTGTCTTCTACAATCCCTCCCGCTCATTTCTTGCCTTTACTCAAACTGGGATCTTTGTAAATGCTGCATTTGCCATGGAATTTTCCAGAAAGGATGGAATTAATGTCAGATACAACACAGATAATTGTACTGTACTGATAATATATATAAACAAGTAATACGTACGATGCTGTTCATTTCTGAAGAATCATAACTTCCGCATGGATGGACACTCCCAATGGGCTCCAATCCTTCTTCATCCCACATATATGTCCCATCAGAGCTATCAGATGGTGAAAGCTCAAAAGAGGAGCCAGCTCTGTAATCCATGTCCGAAGAAATTTCATTGTTCCCAGTAGGATGTTTGGCACTTTCACTCTTATCGTCTACTTCTTAAATAAAAATAAAGAACTAAATACTTCTATACACACTCTTACTTCAACACTTTAATACTTTCTTTTTCAAGGCTAAGGCACTTAAGAAAGTTTTTATCTGATCAAAACAACTCTCAAAATGCATTGTATGACCCACACGGGAAGCTAAATCAATAATAAAGCTATCTGAAAACAAAAGTACAAAAATGAAAGAAAAGCATCTTTTAAAAAAGGCAAACTAGCCTTGGAGACCTTGTTACTCCAATGTGAGGAAGCATCTCTTAAAGCAAGGGTCTCGAACAGGGTGGTGAAACTGGGAACCTTCCCCTGAGAAAACTCTTTTCCACACTGTAAGTCAGACCCACTGATGGAGACAGGAGTCTCTCTAGCTGAACTAGGTGCACAGAGTGGGTGATCCTGGGGAAGGCTAACTTTGAATTAATTAAAGAGTGGGACAACAGCCAAAGAGGAACAAGTTCCCCTTATTTCACTATCTGAAGATTTTTTTTCTGTTAATTAATATATGGACATTGAGAAATGAATGCATTAATTCATCTCTATCATGAGAAGGGAAAAAGAATACTAATTTATAATCCACAGACCCTCTCCCCAATTAGATTCAAGCTGTGCACATTTTACGTATCCCAGTGGCATAAAAATATCTGCCTTTTTCTTCAAGTTTCAACAGCAATAAAGAGAAAAAAGGAATTCTAACAGGGATGAAGATTCAGTAATAATGATGCTGATTTTGACCAATAAGTAAAAGGCAACCTTTTCTGTTCCAATAAAGTTTTTAAAAAACCTTGAAATTCCTAAGGCAAACATTCAAAATCTAAAGCTGTTAATTTTTCAGTGAAATGTACTTCCGTATATAGTTATTAGCACAGTGCTAGTCACAAATTGTCAAGGCTGTCCTGTCTTTTGAGAATGAGGTTTAACACAACCATGATGAAAAGAGGAATCATCATTCCCTGCCATTTGCTGCATGGGGCGAATGGTGGCTTGGTCCATGTCTTCTCCTGCTGGAAAGGGACCAACTGGTTTCCAGTTATCCCATTGGCTTCAATCATTTTCCACTTTGTCCTCACGATGAGGTTCTAACAAAGCCAAGCCAGATTTCACATTCCAGCTCTTGGGTAGAAATTTCCTATTCTTGAATTTGCCTTGTTCTGTTGGGATCATCTCAACAGTACTGGTGTTTCTAAATCAGCCATGCACGTGGATCATGATAGCAGAAATATGGATAGAAGTGGGAAGGACAGGACAGGATGCAAAATCCTGCAAGCTAGGTGTGCCAATTTTGTGGGCTTGGAATTTTGTGGGCTCTACCATGTTTTATGGTAGAGATTTTTTTTTTCCTTTTTACACTGTTAAACTAAATATTACACTATGCTTTAACTTCCATAAGACTTTACAAAATAAATATAACTACAATTTATCATAGCATCCTTTCCCATAAGGCTATATCAACCCATTATTACTGCAGAAAGTATGTAGACACTGTCTTAAAATCAAGCACATCTTAAGTTGAAAATGTTAGCTTTCAAGTATTCAGGCTGCATGGCTAAATCAAAGTGTAACTTAAATTTTAACATTCACTACGCCAATTATTTGAAAAATCAATTTACATGAGAACTTTCAAATGCCAAACATTCAGGAATAACAACACTAATCAAGAAAATCAAGTAGCAGAATGGTTACTTGAGGAGAGGTACCAACATCTTCTTAGTGGTTCCATTAGCTTCTAAAACTATTAAAACAACACCTGCATATTTACCTGACACGTGTATATGCAGCCATTCCTCATTATTGCAATTAGATTTCTCATTTTCCTGAAGAGATAGTAGTTGATGTAGTGGTATTCCATTTCCATGTTCTAGCTTTTGAGCAGGAATTTCCTCTTCTTGAATTTGCATTGTCCGACTGGGATCTTCTAAATCTATGAAATCATCACTAAAATCTTCACTAAGGTCATTTTTCTCAGAAGAGGACAGGGATGATATAGATATTTCATCCACATCACCATCCGTGCACATTTTACAGCTGCTTTCTACAAAATCATTGTTCTGCGTTTCTTCTGCATCAGCACATCTTTTAATATCTGTTGAAACCAAATCTTCCATTAAACTATTTGCAGAATCTTTCCTTGTGCTACCATCAACAGGGATCTTTCTACCCAAATGCTGGTTGGCAGGCTTCAGTAATGAAGGACGGCCTGATCTAAACCTCAGAGAAGATGCATCCCCAGCACCATTTAAGAGTGGCTGTTTCTTCAAATGAGAAGGTGCTAAAACAGCAAATGACCTAGCAAACTCATACCTCAAAGGTTCATTACCATTGGGCGCATCTAACTGGCGTGCACTTCTTGACAAGAGATTTGACCTTTGAGATGTTCTAATAGCTAGGTGTTGATTCTGGTAAGGCCTTGTAAGATCCACAGCTCTATTAAAAGAGTGGGATCTGGTAAGAGATGCAGGAGGCAAGAGAGAGCATTGAATGGAATGTGAGAAGCTTTGCGACCTAACCATTTTTTCAGGTGTAACATTGTCTGTTGATCTTGCCAGACTCTCCCCTAAGCTATTCCGGCTGGCAAAAATGTTTCCTCTAAGCCTCTGCAAACCTATCACTGACTGGCTCCCACAAATCCCATTCAATTGTGATTTTGGTGCATTATATCCAGAATATGAAGTCCTGCTTAACAAAGAACTTTTGGTGAACTTAGAATTAGACAGACCAGGCAAACACTTCTGATTTAATTCTTCTGTAGGAGATACAAACATGTTGTCTTGTTTAGCTGTTTTTGAAAAAGTGTTATTTGAACTGATCCTGAGGTCTTCTTTACCAGCTGCTCCTTCAGACTGAGGACACTTTTCAGAATCAGTCACTCTTTCGCTAGAATTCTGACCGGAGTTATATTCGTTACCAATCCGATCTCCCAGATGGTATTTATTAGACTTTCTCCAATTAAAAGAGAAGGAAGACATACGAGTAGTGCCATTGTGCTTGCTGAATTTTTTGTCAATGATCTGTGTATTCCCTGAAAGGTGAGGAGCCGTCCCATTTGGAACAGGCTGTAAGGTATTTCCAGCAGGCTTTGCTCCATATTTTGGTAACCTGGAAACCAAAGACGTCCTGGTATGAGTTTTTTCTTCCATGTGCTATAGTCCTTCCATGCGATATAACCTTCCAACATTGGCTCTAAAGAAAAAAAAAGTGTGGGGATATTAATGTTAATAGCATGATTCTGATAAGAAATGTACAGTATATTATATAGAATAAACTTGACACTTAAACAAGTGGAATAGGTATAATTTATCCATATGGAAAAAATATTTCACCAAGAGATCAACTAAAATCTAACAAGCATACTGTATCCCAGTAATGCTATTTGGGGATGATATTTATTAGACTTTCTTCAGTTAAAAGAGAAGGAAGACATGTGAGTAGTGCCATTGTGCTTGCAGAAACTTTTGTCAATAATCTGTGTATTCCCGAAAAATTAGGAGCTGTCCCATTTGGAGCAGACTGGAAATTATTTGCAGTAGGTTTTGTTTATCTATTTATTTTAACAAATTTATATGGCCACCCAACTCACACAGTGTGACTCCAGGGGGCTTACAGAATTAAAATCCACAATACAAAGAAACCAACCCCCCACCCCCACCCCCGCGGCAGCTACAAACACTTTGTTCTACACTTTAATAATGTGGAAACCAAAGATATCCTGGTATTCAGTTTTCTCTTTCATATCCTATAGCCCTTCCATGTGATACAGCATTTTTCGATTTGGTTCAATCTAAAATGTGGTTGAGTTTGTTTATGTGATGAGAGATCAAGGAATTTCCATCATATCTTCTAATTACCAATTGATGTCTGGAAGCTTGGCATTCTGACAAATCAGCCATCAACAAACACAGAGAGATAAACCCATCTACATAGCATTTAAAAGATAGAACCAAAAGCCAAGGGAGGAAACAACAAATCAGAACACATCTTCCCCCGCAGCCAACACCCAGATAAGCAGGAAACAGCACAAGAAACAATATCCTAACCAAGGAATCATCAAGGAAGAAACTACACTCCCACCAAGATGGGAAAGCAAGCTACTGTATACAAACACCCAGCAAACTTCATTCTCCCATGCACTGATGTTACATAGCATGATAATGAAATGTCTGCAGGAAAACAACCCAGTTCAGAGAATACAAACAACCCAACAGTCCCATAATAATATTTGCTTGGGTAAAAAACTATCCACATATTAGGGTAGCTCCTCCAGCACTATCTCCAAACTGGCAGGGATAAATCAGGTGGTCATTTTACCTACATTATTAAGTATGCTAGTAAGTCATTTCAAGCACTCTGTACATGACAAAGCTATCCTTATAATCTGTGTGATCACACAGTTTAAATAAATACAATTTAACATATAGATTATGGAGAAGCAATGGAAATTAATAGCACAGTATATTCATAACTTTTTGCATGCGTACATAACACAGCCACTAATTTCTTCATCATGGGCAACCAGCCTGTTTGTACTCCAAGACTGGAAATGTAGTCTCTTTAAACATACTCACTGCTCCAGTCAAGGTGTAACGTTGGCTGCTATTGCCCCCTCTGGGAGGAGAGAATCCACTCATCATTTTGCACCCCCCCCCGAGACCCTTTGATAAAAAAATGACCCATCTGCATAGGAGAGCTTGGGCCCCTCTCCATGCACAAAGAAAAACAAGAAGGCCTCATTCTGGATCTCAAAGTAGATGACATGACAGCTGAGCCTTGTTTTTCTCCATTTACTGGAAGAATCTGCAAAGGACAAGGAAGGGGAAATCAACCTGCATTCCTTGTTCACTAAAACCTCGACTCTTTTTGTCAAAGTGCTTCCAGACTGAAGGACAAACAAGAGTCACAGATTTCTTGACTGAAGGTTCAAGGTCTGCATGCCATTCACACACCACTGCAATGCTGATTCTCCTTTTTCTGCTGATATGTGATGTTTGACAATGGCATAGCTGCTTTAAAGAGTTGTAGACAAGAGCTACATTCACATTCCCACACCCTTTGAAATACCTTTCTGGAATTGAATCTGCACAGCCCTAATGGTTTCTACTAGATCTTTTCTCAAATTAACTTCTTCACTTGCTAAAGGTTAATTATTATATTTAAAAAGACAGCCATCTATTAACCTTGGGTAAGAGAACAAATTAATATGGAAGGGCAAAAAAAAAAAAAGGAAATATAATTGCAAACCCTTGGATTATTGGCTATTTTACTCCAATTAATGCATTATTTTCATTTTAAGAAGTTTTGGAGTAAATTTTAACTCTAAATTAGGATCAGGGACATCATTTGTACTTTCTCTAATTCAGCATGCTATTTTAACACTTAACCCCATTTAATATACAAACAGATTTAAACCGCTGTACTTAATTGGGACATTTACTTAGCCATACTTTTATGTTACTGGAGGGAGAAAAGGCTATTTCAATATCAATATAGGAATCAATATGGAATTTAAAGTTATGCTTTCTACAAAAATCAAGGCATCAAAGCTATTAAGAAATGTAGACTACAGTATGTTTGTTAATGCACACTCTGACAACTCATATCTCATGACATAGCACCATAATCATAAGAACTACTACTGCAAGTTGATCACTTTACAACCGGCCAGTGACAAATCTGCAATTCTTTCTTCCCACGTGATCAGAAGAGAAGTGTCCAGAACACGTCCATGCCATCAGCTTCTATTCATCAGAAGAAGCTGCCATATCCCTAAAATAATATACCTTTTATTTAAATTAAAACCATTCTTGAGTGGAGAACAAGATACATCTATTTTGAGATATGCACGCTTAAAACCGGGATTTGGAATGATGACTGCCATCATTATTCCAAACTTCGTTACCGTATTAGAGAAGTTCTTCTAGAGGCAACTTTCAAGTACCACAGCAAGGGGAATAAACGCATTTTTTAAATCCTCTTGAGGACCTTCTCTATACCGCACAGGGATCAGCTGGCCCTGCAACCGGAGCAGGCGTGCCAGGCCGGAGGGAAGCAGACCTCTCTGCTCCTGCCCTTTCCCACCTCCCCGGCCGTCCGGGAAACCTCCCCGCAGAGCTGCTGGTTCAGGCGAGCCGGGTTCGCGCCTGCCTCTCACGAACGGAACCACGTTCGGTTAATCGTCACACCTCGCCACAGAGCAGGCCGCAGCCGGTTCACCGGCCAGGTGCTAAATGGCTCTGCTCCCGGGCTTGACGGCCTGCGCCCTGGGCCAGGGCGGCCCCACGAGCAGCCCTCCTGACAAGCGGGGGAGAAGTGACGGGCGCCTCGGCAGGAGGCCTCCCCGGGCTCTGGAGGCCGCTGAGCCTCCACACCGCAAGGGGC